CTATACAATTGTAGCTAATTAAAGTGTAAAAGACAACAATAATATTTTACACAATTCTCTTGAATTCGATCCTTGTAATCTAGTATGTAAGACGCTCGTCCATGTGGGTCTAATGTTATGGCTCAGCCTAGCAATGTAAACAAAGATGTTTCGCTATTCTACGTTATTACTTATGGTAACTAAATTGTTACAATTTTTTATAGAATATTGTATTCCTGATCCTTGCCGAAACGGCGCAACAGGTTCACCCGAGTGAGATAACTAAACTTGTGCTTGTGCAGCTTTCTTAGGCGGTACAAACTACACAACACTTAAGGCGATTTCTATAAAGCATTTTAGCTCATTAAAGTGTTAAAGGCTACATCTATATTTTTACAAAAATTCTAAAAGGTATAGGTGCATTTCGTGGCAAGTTTTGGCAATCTTCAAATCCCGCTATTGCATTTTCCTTGAACGTAGTTTCGAGACTTTTAGTTGTACCCTTAAAATCAATATCTCTATGACTGCCTTTTTTGTTTGAATATAGACTTAAGATGGTTATCTGGCTCATTATTCACAGTGATAACCTTCTCCCTAATTATCCAAACGTTAGTTCGTCCTCCAAAAACTTATTGCCCAGGAAGTATATACATGCAGTACAAAACTCCTTGCGAAAACTATTCCTAACACCTAAGTGACAAAAATCTCTGTCTTCAAAAGATAAACCCCAAAACTTGATTAACCGTTAAACTGAAAAATGTTAAAGCCTCTGTTATATCACGCAAATTTTCCTTTTTCAGACGGAATAGACGAAGATGAGTGTCTTGGTAGAATCACTCAAAAGTTAGCCACTCCTCCCTCGCGGTAAATTCGTCCTTTGTAAATAGCGATTATTCAAGCTGTTGATAGTTTGTACGAAAAGAAGAGAGCGTCTCGCGAAAACTATCATTAACATCTAATAAGTGACCAACATAGCCTTTTGCAAGGAGAATACTAATAATAATATCACAGGAAATTTCTTGTTAACGGCATAGACAAAGATTAGGGTCTTCAAAGAAGTTAGCTTCAATCAGGAATCAGGATTTACTGATCAGTTTTGTCCCTCACACACTAAGTCATCTTTCCTGTAAAATATAATTTTTTGCTAATAAGCAAAGGAGTTATAGAGTTCTGATATAATTTGTGAGTAAATCAATTATTATTTTAAGTCAGTTCTACTGTGAAGACAGGTTTTCACTCAGACCAGCTAGATTTGAAATCAAGACCTTCTATATCTACAAGCACTTCACCCCGTTTGACTTTCCAACAATTATATACAAAAGGGGACCATACCCCTGACTTTTTTGTTTGAATATAGACTTAAGATGGTTATCTGGCTCATTATTCACAGTGATAACCTTCTCCCTAATTATCCAAACGTTAGTTCGTCCTCCAAAAACTTATTGCCCAGGAAGTATATACATGCAGTACAAAACTCCTCGCGAAAACTATTCCTAACACCTAAGTGACAAAAATCCTTGTTTTCAAAAGATAAACCCCAAAACTTGATTAACCGTTAAACTGAAAAATGTTAAAGCCTCTGTTATATCACGCAAATTTTCCTTTTTCAGACGGAATAGACGAAGATGAGTGTCTTGGTAGAATCACTCAAAAGTTAGCCACTCCTCCCTCGCGGTAAATTCGTCCTTTGTAAATAGCGATTATTCAAGCTGTTGATAGTTTGTACGAAAAGAAGAGAGCGTCTCGCGAAAACTATCATTAACATCTAATAAGTGACCAACATAGCCTTTTGCAAGGAGAATACTAATAATAATATCACAGGAAATTTCTTGTTAACGGCATAGACAAAGATTAGGGTCTTCAAAGAAGTTAGCTTCAATCAGGAATCAGGATTTACTGATCAGTTTTGTCCCTCACACACTAAGTCATCTTTCCTGTAAAATATAATTTTTTGCTAATAAGCAAAGGAGTTATAGAGTTCTGATATAATTTGTGAGTAAATCAATTATTATTTTAAGTCAGTTCTACTGTGAAGACAGGTTTTCACTCGGACCAGCTAGATTTGATATCAAGACCTTCTACATCTACAAGCATTTCACCCCGTTTGACTTTCCAACAATTATATACAAAAGGGGACCATACGGGATACTTTGAGCGAATACCTCTTAATCATAACAACTCTACTTTTGTTTCTCCGTAAGAAGAAATGAATGAGAGCATGTCAGCACACAACATAAATTTGTTTTTATCTCTGACTCACGTATTTATGAAAAGATTCGAATTAATTTGAAAGAAATTTGTTCAATACTTTTTCTTTATCACTGAATATGATACAATTGAAATGTTAAGAGCAATACCATGAGCCGTGACGTTACGCTAAATCAAAACAAAAATGGTGATTTCATGCCCGATCATAACATTCCTTGTACAAACTTGAATCCTTAACCTCCAACCTACCTCAATGTGACATTATCTCCAATCAGCATGAACGGAGCCCATTTCTTTTCTTCAGAATACTTGGCGTTACTTTTCATCCACTTTCTGACCTCGTGAAGAGATTCACGGGCACTTTCACCACGGAACAAGTGTTCGTAGAAACGATTCATGAACTGCTCTGTCGATTCGTCGTCGAGGGCCCACCGCGCCACTAACACCGAGCGAGCACCGGATCCTAAGAACGTTCGAGCGATTCCGATAACTCCTTCGACTTTAATTTCCCCGCGCCCACTGTGACAACAGCTTAGAACAACCAGTTTAGCTCGAAGTTGAACATTTGATACGTCAGCCATCGTCAAAAGGTATTCTTCTTCTTGTAAAATATCATTCGTTGTACGAACAGGGCAAAGTGCGATTTCTCCTCTTTCGGTATCTCCATGAGCAGCAAAATGTATCAGCGCAACTGACTTCATCTGATCAATAACCGCCTCCTTTGTTGCATGTCTTCCTAACAATGGAGGAACGCCAAGCATTTTTCCAATCATCTCAGCTTCTTTCCTTGCCCATGGTAGTGGATCGAGGGTCATCAGGTGTCCCGTGTAAATCACCTCTCTCACCTCAGGTAAATGATTATGTTCTTTCAAGAACTCAGATTGTATCAGAACTCAATGAGATGTCTATAGAAAAGATACTTCATTCCACAAGCACTGTTTGGTATGTTTCTTTTATCAAGAGTTTTTGATTTGCTACCTATTGTAAGATATATGTCAAGGATGCATTATGCCTCCCCTGTACTGGTTGTGATGAAGGAACTGACATGGATCCCATAAGTAATTCGACAAGACAAAGTGCATATTGCACTCAAAATCATGTTATTACCTCTACTAGTTGGACTGATATATTCCCCAAAAATAGACAGCATCACCAAAACTATTTCTCGGGTACGCGGCCCCCTATAAAGCGGAATTAAAAACTAAAACTAACATGTGGTAACTGGTGCTTTTATTTAGGATATAAAGAAATTCAAATGTGACTGATGACAATTAAAATGAATGGTCCAGTGACCTGTCAAACAAAATGTGTATTTGACAATCGAATAATGAAAAAGTTACTTATTAAATTTCTGACTCCTTCCTTTGATATAGAGCTGGGGTCAGCTTCCCTACTGTAACCTGTCTACAAT